AAAAAAAAACAAAAAACAAAAGAGGTGGGGATGTCCAGAGTCCAGAGTGAGCTCATCTCTGCACGACATTTCCTAGAGGTTGGTCTCTCCACATGGAATCCAGGAAATCCTGACAGCTGGGTCAGAACACCACGAAACAGAGAACCATTCAACAGGGAGATAAACTTGCATGCACCTTACTTGCTGCCTTACACTAAAATTCCAGGATAGACACACAATTGCAGACAATAGTGGGAGAGACTGGCCCAATTCTGGAACCTCAAGGTTCTTAGATGCACTGACCATACACCTCCAGGTCTGGTACCACTATCCCTCTTCAACAACATCTCTTTCCTGTGGGAACTTGTCTCCCCGATGCTCAAGTCATGAGGGGCAGATGGGGCTGACCCTGCCTTCTCCAGGGATTGGGTGACCACTCAAACTGACCAGTGGATGTGTCGGATCCTTCAGGGCAGGAAGTCTGGAAGTCTGGAAGTGCTGGTGCCACTTCGCTTGCCCCAGAATGAAACAAGAAGACAGATCTCTGGAGCGAGGCACGATATTCCAGGGCAGGTGTTTTCAATGATCTGAGTCAAACATTTCCATTTCTTCTTCAGCTACTTTGAGTTGAGCCATGGCCTGTTTGGAGCCCCCTCCCAGCTTATTCTTCGCTGTCACCCTCCCCAGATCCCTAAGCCTATCCTGCATTCTCACGACTGGCTCTTCCCACTGTGTGGAAGCCCTTCCTCCAACTCATCAACACACTCCTCCCCTCAGTTCAGATACTGCCTCCTCTTGAAAGCCTGCCAGATTCCCTTGGACACATGCACATTCCTTGTCCCACATTCCCACCACATCCAGTGGGTGTCCCTGGGAAACCTTTATTCACTAGGCATTACCAGCCTAAAAAATTTGGGTAACCTTTACTTCCTGTGGTTCTACTAAGAAAATAGGGATTCTATGCCTGCTTCCCTGACACTCACACTTTCCAAATACAGAATAAGATTTTAACAGTTAATGATTAATGTAAGTTTTCAATCAGTGCCAACTCCTATCCCAGACATTCTGAAACACTCCCCTGGAGAGATCAAAAAACTGCAGCAAAACGTCCTTCATTGATTCCATAAGCATTCATGTTGCCCCAGATTGAATACACCTCACTGAGTGTTGGTCAAATTATAAAACAATATTATAATCAACCTTTCATCTGTAAGCCAGGAAATTGCAGGGAAGGATCCTGCCAAACTGTCTAACTGGCACTATGGAAGGAGGACTGCGCCTTCATACTTTATATAATTCTAGAGTGTCAGAGTTTATAAATGCTTCCCCCTTATCCCCAGTGCTGGGTTTGAACCCAGGGCTTCACACATGCTGGGAAAGTGCTCTACCACTGAGCTACACCCTAGTTCTATGGGTGCTTTTGACTCTCTTTTCTGGGCTTCTTAATATCTGTAAATAAAACTTCTCAATGGTTGATGTGCCTGTTTCACTACATCTTTCCTGAGGAGCAAGGATAACTGGGACTCACTACTAAGTCTTCAGCTTCCTGCTAGGGCCTGACTCTCAGAAGGCCAGGAAATATCTGGGAAATGACTGAAAGAATGGAGCTGAGCAGGCAAGAGAAGTGGAGGATGGGGAGATGGAGGCCCAGGAGCTGGCTGGGAGGGCTGGAGCAGTGGGCAGCTGGGGCAGGCGGAGCTGCCTCTGGGCCCTGCGAGGTGTCGAGCACCCAGACGGTACAGAATAAACTACTGATGGGAAATTGGGGCCACAAGGTAACTCAGCCTATGAGAAAGAATCCCTAGAAAACAAACTTGGTCCAGCTTTGCACAAGCTGAAGACACACACAGAAAGACCAGGGGTGAGGATGCTGGGGAGGTAGAAGTAAGAGGAAAGGGCTTGCAGGGAGGGATTCAAGGAGACCTTAGCAACCAGGGACTGTCTGGACAGCAGGTGGCAGAGGGTTGGCCTGCTGCTGGGCAGTCAGGGGGTTGGGAGTTCCTAGGGGTACACGAACGCATGGAGTGTTGGCTGCTAATGGGGTGATGGCCTGGCTAGGCCTGCACCAGGTTGCCTGCCTTTCACCCTCCTCCTTCCTCTAGCCTTTGTCCCTCTGACAGACATTTCTTTAGACATATTCAGACAGCAGGAGGGAGGGAAATCCACACAGACCTCGTGGAGACATGTACTAATGGATGAAGAGTAGCTATCCAGGTAAAGAAAGGGAACAATTCTAGGTAGAAAGGAGAACGGGAGCAGGGGCTGCCCAGCCCAGTGAGGAGCCCCAAGGGCTTGGCATTGCTAAGTAAAGAGCCCTTGGCCGTGTACTATGAGGCAAATGGAACACCTGCTGCTGGTGACCTGGGTGGGAGGGGCCGTGAAGGACATGTCCAAGGAAGACAGCTAAAGGCAGCAGTCAGAGGCCATGTGGTTAGAGCCCTAGGCTCCCAAGGCCCTGGGTTCAATTCCCAGCACCACTGGCTTCCTAACCAGTTCTGCCACTTCTGTTAACTGTGTGACCCGGGGAATGTCATTTTGCCACTGGGAGCTCAGGTGAAGTGAGGCTGCATGAGTTCAGAAGTCACTGCTGGCACAGTGCCTGGTACAAAGGCAGTACCCAGAAGACTAGACCACAGCTATTGTCCTATGGTGAGCCAGGTAGTGGAAGGCTACACAGGAAGAGTCATCGTAGAGCAGTGAGGCCTGGTGGCTCTGAGTTTCCCTGCAGAATCAGGCCCAGGAGCAGCCTATTCTAAAGAAGGCAGGTATCAGTTCAGTGTTCAGGCAAATTCCAGATGGGAGCATCAGTCAGTAACAGAGGGATGAACTCCATCAAGGGAATAGACTTTGGTGCACACCTGTAATCCCAGCGCCTTGGGAGGCTGAGGCAGGAGGCAAGTTGGAGGCCAGCCTCAGCAACTTAGTGAGATTTTCAGCAACTTAGCGAGACCCTGTCTCAAAATAAAAAAATAAATGAATAAAAGGACTGGGGATTCAGTGTGGTGGAGTGCCCCTGGGTTCAAGCTCGAGTACCATAAATAAATAAATACATATATGCATGAACAAATATATAAATAAATAAAAATAAAATGGGAAAAAGCCTTTCAGGGTAGCCAACATCTGCCACCAGGGGGTCCTGAAAAGATGGTGGATGGAGTAAGAGAAACGCTTTGGACCTCTAGGCTAAGGAGGTGAAGCAGGTGTCTTTGTTGCAGGATTTCTCAGGATCTTCCCCCCCTTAATGAACAGCACAAACTCAAGTGCTGGTGGAAACTACACAGACAGCACAAATGGGTGACGTGGGCAAATTACTGGAGAGAACATGTCAGTCTGAAGGGGAATCCGACTAGGCTCCTACCTTGCTCCTTTTGCAGCTGACTATCCTTATGGGAAATTGATTAACCACTGTCAAGTTAGACTGTGTACCCCCAAAAGATAGGGTGAAATCCTAATTTCTGGTACCCCAAATATAGCATTATTTGAAAACAAGGTCTTTGCAGGATTAATCAAGTTAAAATGAGGTCAGAGCCCAGTGCAGTGGTACATGCTTGTAATTCCAGTGACTTGGGAAGCTGAGGCAGGAGGATCATGAGTTCAAAGCCAGCTTCAGCAAATTAGCATGACCTTGACTCAAAATAATAAAATGAAAAAGGCTAGGGATGTGACTCCGCGGTTAAGCACCCCTGGGTTCAATTCCTAGTAATAATAATATCATTATGGTAGAATCTAGTACAATGACTCTTGTCTTATAAGAAAGAAATTTAGGGCTGGGATATAGCTCAGTTGGTAGAATGATTGCCTCTCATGCCCAAGGCCCTGGGTTCAATTCCCAGCACCACAAGAAGAAGAAAAAAGAAAGAAAGAAAGAAAGAAAGAGATTTAGATACAGAGGCAGACACAAAGAGCAGGCCATATGTCAACAGAGGCAGAGTTTGGAGCCATCCATTCTTGGAACACCAAGGATTGCTGGCACCACCAGAAGCTAAAAAAGACAAGGAGCGGTTTTCCCCTAGAGACTGCAGAGGGAGCATGGCCCTGCTGATACCTTAACTTTGAACTTATGGTCTGAGATAATACATTTCTGCTGTTTTTAGGAGGGGTTATTGTGTTTTTGTTTTTTCGGTTCCAGGGATTGAACCCAGGAGCATCCCCAGCCATTTTTATTTTTTGAGACAGGGTCTTGTGAAATTACTTAGGGCCTCGCTAGGTTGCCCAGGTTGTCCTCAAACTTGTGATCTTCCTGCTCAGCCTCCTGAGTCACTGGGATTATAGGCATGTGTCATCATACCTGGTTTCTATTGTTTGAAGACACCTACTTGATAACATTTTTTTGTGGCAGCCCTAGGAAACTAATACAACCACTAATTCATGGTTCAGTATATACCCATAAGCTCCAGAAGGGGGAGAGAGGAGCTAACATTTCCTAACTCACAGATCATGGACATCCTTTCTGAAAGAACATCTTGGAGGCACTAATTCTGATCTGCTTGTGCCCATACAGGTACCACTCATGGTGATGACTCTGGTTTCCTCACCTGTTCAGTTGAAACTAATGATATCTAGGAGGCTCTGGGCCCTAGGGGATGCACAGAAAGCATTTAGCTCAGCATACCATCAGGTGAAAGGTTATTATGTGGGATACTCCCCCTTGTGAGCCTCATTTTACCCATCTGTAAGATAGGATAGCAACATCTCCCAAGGCTTCCTAGGATTATTGAAAACTGCCTAGCATATGGCTGGTGGTCAGAAGGCCCCACATGGACCAGTCAGCCCCTCCCTGCACACTCACTGCTTCTGCTTGTCCTTTGCTAGAGGAAGTATGGTCCCTGGTGGCCACCCTTACCTGTGCTGTGAGCTGGATGGGTTGGGACAAGGTGAGCTGTGGGGTCCCAGGGGGCTGGCTGGCAGGCTGTGGTGGTGGCAGGTCGCCTCCCCCAGAGGAGGCTGGGGGCTGCGAAGTTGAGGAGGAGGCAGAAGAGGAGGAGGAGGAAGAAGTAGAGGAGGAGGCGGCGGCAGCGGCGGCGGCATTAGCAGCAGCAGCGGCACTGGACTGCTGTACGGCGGCGGCCAGCAGCTGGGCCTGGGCTTGCTGCAGGAGGAGCTGCTGCTGAGCTGGCATCAGTGCTGTGAGCTACAGGTGGGTGGGCAGCAGGCCAAAGAGGGCAAGGGAGCAGAGAAGGCAGAGAGGGGTTAGAGCCTGAGCCAAGCAGGTGAGGACAAGTCTTCCGAGGGCAGAGGAGGGCAGGAGGCAGGCATGAGAGGCTATGGCCTTGTTGAGGCTCCTCCTCCACGAGTCCTGCAACAGATGGGAGGAGTTGGTCTGTGCCTTCATCCCGGTCCCTCCCCAGTTACTTACCCCAGCTAGCTGGCTGCCCGTCAGCATGAGTTGGGCCTGGGGTAGATGAGGCTGAGCCGGCTGGGGAGGCGGGGGCACTGCGGGAGCTGAGTCACCACTGGGATCTTCAGCCTTGATCTGGGGAGGAGAGAGGCAGGGTCCGGGACCCCAGAATGTTAAGTGGAGGCCAGAGAGAATGCCCACCTGTGGACCAAAGAGAGTGCATATTTGTGGCAATGACAGCCTCAGGCTAGCACAGAAGGAGCTGCTCTGGCCTCGACTTCCTTATCAATCCAGAAGGGCTAGCTCACCACCTGCATCCAAGCTCCCTACAGGAGAGGCCACCTTCAGAGAGCATCTTTCTCCTCCTGGGAGTCAGTGTCCCCATTTGGGAAATGGTGCCACTGGGAATCTGTATGGTCAAATTAGTGGGTGTCCAGGGGTAGGAAGGGTAGGAGTCGATATCAGGATGAGATCCTCTTCATCTGCATCAGTTAGAAGAGCATCTCTTAGGGCTGGGCTTGTGGCTCAGTGGTGAAGCGCTTGCCTAGCATGTGTGAGGCACTGGGTCCGATCCTCAGCACCACATAAAAATAAATAAATAAAATAAAGGTATTCTGTCCATCTACAATATATATATATATATTAATATCTTTATTTTGTTTTTTTGTTTATTTTTATGTGGTGCTGAGGATCTAACGCAGTGCCTCACATGTGAGAGGCAAGTGCTCTGCCCCTGAGCCACAACTCCAGGCTAAAGAAAAATATTTTAAAAAGAGAAGTGCATCTCTTATTTGTCCAATGGAATAAGACTTGGTTGGAAAGCAGGATCTCAGTATTTTAACCTGGGCCACAAACTCAAAGGATTATGAAGACAAACAGCACAAGTGGGTGGCACAGGCAGGGGTGGACAGGGTGAGCTGAAGAGTACATGCCCACCAGAAGAGGAGGCCTACCCAGCAACTATTCTGCTCCCATTGGCCAGTCCCATTTCAGAATCTGGAACAGAAACACCACAGGACAAGAAAAACACACCCAGGCTGGTTCTGTGCAGTGGATTAACCAAATATGGCCCAAGGTCTGCCAGGTTCCAGCCTCTGTACCAGAGGTCTATGAATCCTTCCAAACTCCTAACCATGAGATGAATGAATCTTGCACCATGCAGTTAGATCAGACCAGCAGAGAGTTGCCCTGGCCTTCTTCCTCTCCTCAACACAAGACACATAACAGAGGCTGTTGGTTGAAGGGCTGCTGGGACACGAGAAGGCATGGCTTGATGGTCACACTCTCAAGCCAAGAGCAGACATTAGGGAACATCCTTCAGCCCACCATCCAAGCACTAATTTGCAAAAGGAGATCCAGAGAGGGAAAGCAACTTGTGCAAGGTGAAACAGGCAGATTGGCATGGTGGGAGGGTTGAGGGGGTGGTGATCTTCGGAATGAAGAAAAGACGAACAGAAAGACAAAGGCTCAGGAAAGGCCAAGTGACAGATATCATGTTCCAAATTATAGGACCCAAGTTCAGGAAGTTTTAGAGCTAAGAGAGATGCAGCATGAAACGACACTGAGTATAAGAAGTCAGGGAAATGGAAGATATTAAGGACCTCTGGAAGGCTGGTCTCTTTCTGCTTCTTGATCTGATTGCTACTCCTAGCATTATGGGTGTGCTCAGTTTGTGAAAATTCAGTCGTAAGCAGAGGATCTATGTATATTTTGATGGGCATCATATTTTAATAAGAAGTTTTTAAAAAATAATATTGAATGCTGTAATGAGAAAACCATTCCTTTTTTGTGTGTGTTTTTTCATTCTTTTTGGTTGTCTTAAGAAAGACTCCGATGTGAGGAGGTCTTAAACATCTCTCCAAGGCTGGCCGATTTCTCCTTTTAGCTAATGGAGAACAGGCCTCAGGCTTAGACCCTTCAGCACATAAAGAGACTGTGGGTAAATTTTAATAATCATTGTATTTATTTCCATGGCAAGTGACTCTAGTTTTCCATTCATGAAATTTCCATTTAAAAACCATTTATTCAAGCTGTTGAAAACACAAGGCAGTTCATGAGTTGATGATTGTTGAGGTTGATTGATGAGATCCTGGGGAGTGTTATTTTCATTATACCCTTCTGTCTGTTTTTGTATCTGCTTCACATTTTCCACAGCAAAGTGTTTTTAAACATTGAGACAATTAACAAAATTATTATGTAAATAATTTTACATGGTGGTATTTGGATATGTCTGAAACCATGACAGTAGCATGTGAATCACTGCCGATGGGAAAAGACAGGCCCAGAAGAGTAGGAAAGAGGTTGAGAGGCAAAGGCCAGGACTAGAGAAACAGAGTGAGGGGTGGACAGAACCCAGGCCTGGGAATGGGAAGAAAAACCCTTTCTTCCCTTGGCCTCACTGGCTTTCCCTCGAGAAAGAAAGCTGCTGAGGAGTGAAGGAGACTGCAAAGGTCTAATTGAGCTGATGAGGGAGTGGGAGCAATGGGCAGTCACCCCAGGGATGAGGCAAGGGCCAAGCCTGAGATCAGGAGGCAAGAGTGGGACCTGGTTTGAAGCACTCAGTACAGAAGAGAAGACACCTGCTCACAAAGCACTTTGTCCTCCCACGGCAACGTGGGAATAGACCAGATGTGGAAGGGAATTCAGGGGTCATCCAATTCTACAGTCCCTAACCACCTCCCCCACACACACCATATTGAAGAAGAAGACACTTAGAAGTCCAAAGAGGGGAGTAACTTTCCCCTGGTCACAGAGCAAAGTTGCAGCTGGGTGGGAAACATGTCTTAGCCTCCTATCCTGTTCCTTGGCCACCTCTGCTCAGTGTCAGCAGTCTTGCCCATGTCCTCTCTGACCCCACCTATGGTGCTCTCCTCAGGTCTCTGTACCTGCCTTCTGTGCCCCAGAGCCACCCCGCTCCCCCACCCCGCCCCGCCCAGGCTAGAGAGAGGAGACTTGGGCTGAAGAAAGCCTCTAGAAGCCTAGCAGTGCTCAGTATGGGGCCCCAACTGGATCTGGAACTGGCACCCTCTGGCTGCTTCTGGCTTCCCCATCATCTCTCCTCCTGAATTCCCAGAGCTGTAGAGTCACCGGAACTTCCAACTCTGGCAACCCCAACAGGTACGTGTGTGTGTGTGTGTGTGTGTGTGTGTGTGTGTGTGTGTGTG